TGAATAAAGAAAAACTTGACTGTCTTTAATTGGATTTGTTATCTCGTGGAACAGGAGCTGTTCTTTCCGTTTGTCAAAGTTATAGTCTGCTATTTTAAGATATCTGTTTTTTAATCTGTTACGATAAATACGCCACACTCCTATCACAGATTACCAGCGTAAAATAGTAGCTTAATTATGTTGTGTTTAGTATTGTGAGTGTGTGATGTGAGAAGTGAGGTGAGTGAAGAGAATCGAAGACCCTTTTTACTCGAAACGAGACATTCTATCTTAGTCCTCAGAGGTGACAAGTCATCCGCATTTTTATCATTAATCGGATATAAATGTTTTTTTTTAAATATAGAATAGAGTGCAGGCGAACATGCGGCTCACCTGATGGTAAGTCGCCGCCGCCCATGAAAAACTGCAACACCAGGGGAATCACAAATGCATGTCAGCCTTTTAAAAAGGAGAGGCTCTTTTCTTGACATGTGAGTAGTTGCCAGTCCTACCACCGGGCGCGTGCCCAAGTGGCGGACAGGGGGATTCTACTCAGATATTAGTGGCAGCGAGAAACCATCGCGGACCAAAACTGGCTGCGTTTTGAGCGTACCCTCCGTTTTTAGTTGAACTGGAAAACAGTCACAAGCATATTGCTCCGAGAAGCGGGCTTTAAGGCTTGATGATGCTCCTCCTAACCCTCTCAATTGAGAAGAACAGCGGACGTGACACGTGCGGTGAAGTGCAAAGCGCACCCGGCTTTTGATAGCGCCAGACAATCCCGTAATGTCAGTTCGGACCTAAAGCTCTATTTGGCCACGAGGAAGGAAACCTCTATAAAAATCACCCCAAACCTAAGGTCTTGCGTGCTGATGGGTGAATGGCTGGTAGATGCTTAGTCGTTAGCACTTGGGGGCGGGGAGAATTAAGGGTTCATATCCTGTTTAAAAAAAAAGAGGAAAATGAGCGGACTCAGCATTCCCTCACTCGATCGCTGGGCAGGCATGGAAAGAACCTGTATCGACTCTGGCACCGTTCGAAACTCGGAATCCCTCTGGTGTGTCGTGGATCATGTCTCGAGGCGCCTTAGGGACCGAGGACTCTTGGCTTAATCGCTCGGAGTTGCGAGGATGAAAACCTCTATAAAAAATCACCCAAAGCTCAAACGTAGCACACCATGAGAAGCTGCATTGCTGATGGGTAAATGTGTCTGCATTACCACTATGGGATCTATAGAGGCCACCGTAGATGCGGGAATGGTCGTCGCTGCCTACGTGCAACTGGAAAGCGTCACACTGGACAGAGATGGACAGGACCTTCTAGAGTGCCCAGGTGTCGAAAACAAATGTGCTCTCACACAAACTCCGGCCCCTGGCACAAAGGAGTATTCTAATTTGTACCCCGGGTAGGAGAGATACGAAGTATCAGCCGTAGAGGACACCTAAGTATCGGTAACTCAGCTACCATGTTAAGGGGGAGGGGGTGGATTGGGCTTCCAGCTACCTGCACTCACCAGATGAAATGCATAAGCAGTGCTTCTATTCCATGCTGGTCTTCTGTGAGGTCGTGGTAACACTCCGGTTCGAGCCGACCCATACGTGCAACAGCAAAAACTGACGCGTGACTCTACCACTGTTAAAAAAATGTGGATATATATGAGCTATAGCATCCTCAAACCACCAGGCGGAGTGTGTAACCGTTTGTTTTCTTTTTTACAAAAGTTCTATCGTCTTTTCCGATCAGTTTCATTTATTATTATCAGAAATTGAGATATTGGTCCAAAATAATCAAACTGTACAAGACTCGACTGGTGGGTCAGTTCCCGCAGAACCGCTAATTCATTTCAAAAATACCATGATAAATACACACTTGCGCTTTCAAGCTAAGTTATTGATTTCTTGGATTCAGCGGTATCTTAATAGTGAACAAGTCGTCAACATTTAATTTAAAACTTGCCTGTGTATGTAATTATTCACTGCGCTTGCAATAATAGAAAGCCCGCCAATCTCATTATCCGACTGCCGCACATGTTGTAATCAAGGCAGCTGTTGTCGTTGTTACGATTTGACAATTAAAGCAGGCAAAGGTCTTAGACCATACAGTCTAATCTAGAGTGTAATTTTATTCACAAAAATTTTATAACATGATGATGCGTCACCTTGCGAATTTATTGAGAAATTTTCATGACAGCGTAATTTACAAGACAGCAAATGACCTGTCTAACTCTAAAAATCTTAAGCCGCGAAAGCGAAAAAAAAAACTTAGATTTATATCACCATCAAAACTCTAGGATCGTTTCCACTAGTTCATTATTCATATGTGTACGAGTATATATTACATATTGTACATATTGTATCCGTATGTCATAAATAGACCTACGCGCAATTACATCCTGCCCTAAGCTAGGTTTAAACATCCGCTCGTTTATAAGAGACTGTGACCACTAACGAATTTATTGATTTTTTCATTTCGATGAATTCCGTGAGTGCAGGCCAGCATATGTACGTTAGTGTCTAGCCTACAATTAAAAAAACATCATCGTCCATTTTGTATCACAAAATTCATTTTGAATCACTAATAACTCCTTTTATTCTTCATTATCTTTATTTTCTTTTTTTTATACTGATCATTAAACTAAGATAGCGAATCTTTACCTTCATTGCCAATATATAGCTCGAATTACAATTGACTTAAGTTACGATGTCCCTTCGACACAATGATGCCATTCGACAAATTAGTCAAAACCTATGACTTATATATTACTAGTTGTCAAACCGTTCTATATATAGTTTGTACCATTTGGTAGTAACACGTATAGGCTATATCGTATGTGATCGACACGGACTAATTTAAGCTTTTGTGTTGTATGTGTTAAACAATCGAATAAATAAGTTGTATATTTAAGTCCGTAAAAAAATATAATATTTTCGTTTAGGTACGTATAGGACCGTAACACTGTTGTGGCGATGTAAGAATAATCACTACCCCATATCGTCTCGTGTGTATCTTAAGAGGCGACTAAAGGCATTAAATCAGGCAATGGGCAGTTCAGACCCGCCTGCCAAGCGTGTCAACCATCTAGGTAATATATGGGGGAGGCTTACGTTCAGCGGTAGCCTTGATAGGCACTAACGACTACATAAAAATATGTCACCTGCTTTTGTTTTAATATCAGTCCTTTCTGCGACTTTTTTACGTTGAACCAAAACTTTTGTGTCTAATGTAATTTAAGTTTTAGTTAAGTTGTAATCGTAACGTGTCATTCTTTCGCACGTGGTAGAGCCATGCTGTAGTTATATTAGTAGTATAGTTGTAGCACGAATGAGTCGGCTCGACCGGGGAAGGACCACGCTCTCACAGAATACCAGCGTAAAATAGTAGCTTAATGCTGCTGTGTTTCGTGTGGTGAGTGTAGAGAACTGGAGACCCTTATTACTGGAAACGAGGCACTCCATATTAGTCCTCACGGGTGACAACGCATCTGCATTTCGATTTGTAATCGAGGATAGATGTAGATGTCCATGGGCCGCAGCAACCACTTACCATCAGATGGACTTTGCGCTTGTTTGTCACCCTATCCTATTAAATAAATAAAAAAATAAAATATTCTCGACTTTTTTTAAATTTGTGATGAACACCAAACACAAAAGTTAAAATACGTCTCTGTTAATTTAATGTAAGTACTATTTTTGCTGTCTAGTTGATCACATATTGGCAATTTCGCCTCACATTAGATTTATCGATCGGTATCCCTCTACCAAAATCTAATCAGACATCTTCGTTCCGCCTCAGATTTTCGCTGCGATGTCAATTTTTTTTTACTGGTAAACCTTTACTTACGCTTGCACGAAGGTAGATAGGCATTACCTAACAAATACTAGCTTTACCTTAATAGACGTCTGTTTATTCTCAAGACAGGTGGATTACAGCAATAACAAAAAACGTCGCATTTCTATACTCGTATATGCATAACGTGACGAGACGTCCCGTTTTGAACGGGACTGTCCCTTTTCATAGTTACAGCTCCTTCACACTAGTCGTAAGTCGCATATGACTAAAAGTCGAAAGTCTGATGTACCTGTTCACACTGCGTCGCGAGTCGTATAGGTCGTAGTTTCGCCTTTCGCGTCATTCGGTACGTAGCGAACTCACGAGATGGACGCCGACGAAGAACTTGTTGTGCTCTACTACTTACGAAGAAAATTAAAAAAGTTGAAAAAAAAAGTCAATTCCAAGAAAATACTGGATGCACCCAATCCTAACAGAAAGATCGACTTTAGGAAGTTATAAAAATTTAATACATGAATTAAAAAATGACGAACGAAAATTCTTTAATTATTTTAGAATGTCACAAGCAACTTTCAACGACCTACTGTCAAGAGTTTCTGCGAGCATCACGTATCGGAATACGACATTTAGAGACTGCATTTGTCCTGAAGAAAGACTGTCGATATTTCTTAAGTAAGTGTTTTTTTTTTAGAACCACACTACAACTGCTACAAATATTCAAATTGTATTTGTAGTGTAGTAGTCTGATTGTAGCAGTTGTAATGTGATTTCTTAGGTGTATTGAAATTGAAACAAAAGTTATTTTAACTTGTTTATTTTAAGTAGGTAAACAGCGCAACATATTACAATAATTCAAAAATCGGAGAAATTTAATTAAGTACTTTCCGACCAAGTAGATGCAGCAGGCGATCCTTCCTCATACGTTTGACGTCCTCCATATCCAGACCCATGTGGTGTAAGAACAGCCTGGTTTTGAGAGGAATATCCGGATTCATCGATAGATAAATAATTATAGTTCTGTGTCGAATACCCCGATCGCCGTGTGCTATCACGCGCGTAATTATAATTATTTGCATAAAGCCTGTTTTCACGTTTCTTTTTGATTTGTTGTATCAGTGATATTGAAGCTCCAACGTTTCGTCATCGTCGAAAGACGTAACAGAGGGTAGGATACCTTTAAAAAATGATAAAATTGGGGGATCAGTTTGTTGTGATAGCCTGCTGTCTAAAAACTAGCTCATTTTGACATCTAAGTCCATTATATGTTGCTGTGGTGGCATGGTCTTTTGTCTTTTAGAAGTGCTTGGTTGCGAATTTTCAGACAACTGAGTACTGCCTTCTGTCCCTGGTTGAGATATACGCGACGCAACAGACTCTTGAGGAGGATTAGGTCTAGCAACTTTACGCAAAAAATCCATTTGCTCTTTATATACATATGGCTTTGAGGACTTTGCCCCTGATCCTGATTTTTTTTTCATCATTTTTGTTTGTTCGGATCCAGACATTCTGTAAGTTCGTCCACTTGGTCAATACTAATTTACCTGAAATTATATTGCAACATTATTTTCAGATATTGTGCATCAGGATGTTCCTTCAAAGACCTGCACTACAATTTCAGAGTCGGGGTATCAACTGTTAGTAAAATTATCAAAGAAATGAGTTGCATTATCTGGGATACATTAAAAGAAGAGTTTATGAAGTTGCCCGACAATGAAAATAAATGGGAAACTCGCAAATGGTTTTAATATTAAAGCTAACTCCCCACACTGTATTGGAGCCGTCGACGGCAAGCATATTAGAGTAGTGAAACCAAATCAAAGCGGCTCGATGTATTTCAATTACAAAGGTTATTTTTCATTTGTTTTACTAGCTGTTGTTGATGCAGGATACCGTTTCATTTATATAAGTGTTGGTTCATATGGGAAAGAATGCGATTCTTCCATATTCAAGGAGACTACGTTTTGGAAGAAACTGAATGATGGTAGTTTAAACATACCAAAGCCAAGGCCTCTTCATGAAACAATCGAAAAGGATATGCCCTATGTACTAGTTGGCGATGAAGCTTTCCCCCTGACGACAAATTTTATGAGACCTTTCGGAGGCAATCATTTGGATGATACGAAAAGAATATTTAATTATCGATTATGCCGTGCAAGAAGATTTGTTGAGTGCGCTTTTGGAATTTTAGCTAATAAATGGAGAATACTGCATCGACCATTGGATGTCCACCCAGACACAGCTATCCATATTGTGAAAGCCTGTGCAGTATTGCATAATTATTTAAGAGAAAGGGATGGTCTAAACTTTGAAGATATTCAACTTGCACTAGAACAATCGATACAAGAACAAGATCAACAACAGAGAGTACATAATCCTCGTGGTGGTCCGATTGCAAATGTTATACGATCGGACTTTGCAGACTATTTTACTTCCCCGATTGGTTCGCTGCCTTGGCAAACTAATGCGCAATACGCATAATATAAATGAGTTAAAAATTAATAATACAACTGTAAATACATAACTATGTAGTATAATAGTTAATAAACTTTACTGGCACTTACCGAAATGTTGTCTTTCTTTTTCTTCCATGTTTTCAAAATTAGGTATTAGTATGGTACAAATTTCGCGCCAGGCCAATAGTTTCAGATTATTATTTTTGTAGTCATTTAAAGTTTTATCCCAAAGGACTGCTCTTTCGTGAACTAATGGAATTAGTTCTTCGGGTTTTATTTCTTTCTCCATTTTCACACAACAAACAAAATCAGCGCGCGCGCAACCAACACGACGAATAAAACACGAATGGAGTGAGCAAGCAATTTGTAGCGAACTAGGAAGCGGGGTGGGGAGAGAGGTAACAACGCGCTCGAGTCGATTAGATGCACGACTAGTGTGAACAGCAACAAGCAGGCACCTATGCGAGCACGATTCGACGCGATTTTTAGTCTTACAACGGGCGCTGGCCCGTCGGATGGTTTTTTGAGTCGTATTAGACTAAAAATCGCGTCTCATGCAATGTGAACAGCTCCATATAAAGTGTATGGTGACCAGAGCATTCGACTTTTAGTCATATGCTACTTACGACTAGTGTGAACCGGTAGTTACGAATGGCGGTGTTCCCGAAATGAACTCTGGGACGCAAAATTGTCCCGTTTTCTGAGACCGCGCGAAAATTTGTATTGTTGTTACTAAAAACTTTTTTGAAGATCCCACATCCGAATTATGGCTTTATTTTTTATACGCTCAGTCAGCAAGTTTTCATCAAGCTGTATTGAAACTTGTACTTACTACGTACTTGTACTTGATATTTAGAGCAGTGGACTTGCTTTCTTACCAAAGAAATGGAGATATTTTATTGGGCAGATTTAAAAAAGTTCCCCGCAAGGGAAGATCATCATTAATCAAATCATCATCATCAAAAATTTCTGAATGTATTAATTGAAAATAAATATATTGACTGTAATAAAGATGCAGAAGTTTTTGACGAACTACAAATTTCAGTTCTAAAGGCGATATTGATAATTTAGGTGAATATGAAAAAAGGTTCTAAGAGTTTCATTTTTACTCAGTATCACAACCAGCTATATTAAAGCAAGTTTGTTCATGTGAGAAATACAAATATAACTAAACATTTCGTACATATATAATTCGTAATTTTTAAGCTTACTGAGTTTTTCTGAATAAATCACTTTAAAAAGTTTTTTTTATTGACTGCCTGTTAATTGACCTAAATAAACCAATGTCCCGTTTTGAGTCAAAAAATAAATGGTCACGTTATATATACATCAAAAACCTAGTCCTTTGTAATATTTCGCATACGGACGCTCGCATACTTCTACTCCCACTTAACTTGCTCCTTTTTCAATCCTTTTCACAACCTATAACGACGGTACGAAACGTTATATCAGTGAATACTCTTGTGATTTCGCATGAAGTGCGGTTAACTATTCGCCTGGTTCCTGTGCAGGTTGGTAACGTACTACCATTTTGCCTACTATTATCCTTTCGCATTTCCTAAATATTATTTCATTTACTTTCACATCTATAACATTGTATATAAGACAAAAGTAGACCCCACCTTCTTGTGCAGTGATATAGATTGCCTCATAGTGGGGATTTTGCCATAGTTGCCACGTTTGGCAGGCGGGTTGGCAACATAGTTTTATTATTTTGAGTTGTTATTAGTAAGATACGGGGTAGTGGATATTCTTACAACACGGTACAATAAAGACGTCTTGTACTCTAAACGTTGATTAACCTTAAGTACACTGTCTACATATAATGCATAATATTAGGTACAGTTTCACGTTACACCACTACGCCTGCCATTTCTGCTAGCTGACCAGGCGATAGGATCGTCCCAAGCCGCAACTATATTGTACCCTATATGTAACAAAAAAGCGTTAAAATTACTTGTGGATAAAAGATATTTTTTTTATAGAATAAGGGTGACAAAGGACCGCACAGTCCACCTGAAGGCAAGTGAATGCTGTGGCCCATAGATATCTACATTTATCCTCAACTAAGCATAAAGATGCAGATGCGCTATCGCCCCTGGAGACTAAGATGGAATGCCTCGTCTCTATTAAAAAGGGTCTCCGGTCCTCTACACTCACCATACGAAACATAACAGCATTACGCTGCTATTTTACGCCGGTATTCTGTGAGGGCGTAGTCCTACCCCGGTGGAGCCGCCCCATTCGTGCTACAACCATAAAATAGCTGCGGCGTAGCTCTATCGCATATAATATATGGAAACTTACTAGCTAGTTTTCCTTTGTATGAATAAAATACACGAGCTAATGAGCTAAACCAGTACAATTGCAACAAACACACTATAAATCAACGTTCCGTAAGCTAATTAGGCATAATGGAGACTAATCCGCGGCGCGGGATCACGACCGCCTCGTGTTACTGAATGAAACCTGTCTCTATTTTAGCACTCATGTATATGTTTATTATTTATATAATATAGAACGTTATCGTATAACGTGAAATTTTGTTGTGGTGCATATGGTCCATGTGAAGTTTTGTCGTCGCCGCTGGCGAGGGGACATCCGTTAATAAGATGACATGTTTAGGTAGGGAGGGGGTCGAGCCGAATCTCACCCAATCTCACGTGGGAAAGAGTCTCGGCAAATATCACGTAATATTGCCGAGACTCTCCCCTACGTGTATTTTTTTCTAATATTTATCGCGATTATGCGAACTCCATAAAAATAAAATTAATGAAACAATTTTTTTAAACAAACCTAACGCAATCAAGAATAGGTTAACGTATTTACACTAAAAATACACATTTTGAAAAATCTCACTTGAGATGGGGGGGTGAGAGGGTTGAACCATATCTCCTGATATTTGTATAAAGAAGCTCACTAGGGGGAGGAGGGGGTAGAAAAATCGCCAAAATCGCTTGACGTAATCAATGGATGCCCCCTGACAACGGGAGTGTTTTTTTTTTTTCAACTAAAGTATAGCTATTCAACAAGGAAACGTGGCCAGTATTCGAGGCACAATACCACAACGAGTAGGGCCATTTTTAAATTTTATTATTGTTGTAAGTATTACAGGTGTTATTATTTTATTTATACGAGGAGGGCGTGTGAGATCCATTACCCTACTTCGACACATGAATGTCATAAGAGGCGACTATGAGATACGCCAAGAAAGTCTTATGACCGCCGGCAGATGGCGATACAGTCGTTTCGATTACTCCATATGTATGTACAAGCAGACTACCCACACCTTTACTGTTTTAAAAAAATTCCTTCCTTAAGTAAAATTTGGTTTTATTTGCTTTAATATCACTTAATCTGAACTATGAATCCTGATTATAACAAGGTAGGCACATGAAATCGTTAGAGGTACGGCCATTCTGAGGGGTTTCGCCCTTCGCCCTTCGTAAACAGCTCTAGTAAGTAAACAAAGGGCTCATTACATACTTTTTATTGAGAAACACTGAGATGTTTGCGGGAGTAAATATTAATATAAAAGAACCTGAATAGAAGATTATATTATTAGGCTTAAGTAGTGGACAATATCAGAGAGACTGTAACAATTGAGGCTGCTGCAAAATTTGGTAGTTTGTCTTACTAAATTCTGACTTCTGTACATTGAGCTATTATGTACTACGTACTAGAGGAGACACTGCATTCAGCTACTCTGTTCCACTCAACTGCGGTGCATGCACTGCACTTTAATCAGTCACTCGCTAGGCGCTTGTAGAGTTGTCACGTGTTGTGTTGATTTAAAAAAAATCTCTTGATAAAAATATGCCGTCTTGTGTACTTAGATATTGCACAAATAATTCAAGAAATGTCAGTAAAAACCAAGGAATTACTTTTCATCGGTTAATAAGATACTTATTCAATAAAAAAGTATTATAAATTAATAATAAAAAAAATTATTCCTAAGACGCCATCTCGTATCATTGAATATAGATTATGAAATGAATATGTTCAGATGCGACATTTCTGTGGGTACTTAAGTTTAGGACGAATATATTATTATACACATTTTTTTTTGTAGAAACATATAAGTTATTATAATTAGGCTAAATTTTTCATGTTTAAATCTGCTTACTATTCTTTTATTTTATTTTTAGGTTTCCAGTCAAAGTGGAATAAATTCGTCCATTTTTAACTCTCGCGTGCCCAGCATTTATGAACGATTATTTACAGCATTTATGATTCTAATTTAAATAAATATATTTGTAATTTAAATTTTATGTTAATAAGTTTTGTTAAACATACATTTAGTAGGTTTTTTTTATTTGACCTAGATACGTTTTAAAATATTCAGATAAAAATATCATTAAAATGTAATTGTGATATAATATTATGTAATATTATATTAAATAAACAAATACAATATACAAAATAAATGACAAAAATATAAATATTGTTCTCGATATAATTTAGCTATTTAACAATACAATCTACTATTACCTACGGATCATTCTACCTATGTTTATTCTATGACCAAAAAACCAAACGCGCGAACACAGAGTAGCGCACATTTATTGTTTGAGATAGCTGTTCTAGTACGTAAGTACATATTATTTCAATGCTTCTGTAAGTGACTAAATTTTAATTTTAAAAGAAAAAAAAAGAAAATTACCAAAGTATGTATGATGTATAACAAGTAAGTGATCCGAGTCCAAAGAATGTCCAAAGTTATCCGTAAGCTAAGAAATCTTTATACAAATAAAAAAACTAGTTTAGTATTTTACGCCCGTTTCTGTCATATTTAAAATGAGAATGGTTGATAAAAAAGTTAAAAGCACGTTGTTTTATCTATTGTGTGTGCTGCTACAAGGCTTTTTGCCCATAAATTTAATATATCAATCCGTTTAATACTGTATAAGAAAAAACGTTAACATTTGTTAACAATAGTCACATTAACGTTTGTTAACAATTGTCACATTAACATTTGTTAACAATTGTCACATAGCGATGTGTTTTCAGACTTTAATAGCAGCGGATATTGGATTACGATAGAATCTATACTATATAACTTATTGTTCATATCAACACGCGCAGACATATAATACGCAAAACCTATCCAAACCCACTACGAACCATCATTTCAACGATTTCGTATGTAAGTCAAAGAAAATATTTCACTAGAAGAGAAAATGTGACAAACATTATAGAGAAAACCTTAGCCATACTAGATTTAGTGATTAAACTTTTTACACTTTATCCGCTAAGCAGTGTAAGGACAGAGTTAATACGGCAGCTAAA